AAGGGGATTCGGGATCCTAGTACGCATTTCGTTATCATATTTTTATAAAACTTGCATTTAGTTATAATCACGCATTTAATTTAATTAATTTAGACTTTATATTTATAAGTAAGTTATTAAATTCTAATTTAGTTAGCGAAAATATCAAGAATTTCTATTGTTTCGGTTAAGGCGACGATAGGCAAAATTGAACTAATTAATCCCTGTGGGACGATATTCAGACTCATTTAATTCACTTTATTACTTGTTAACGAACCGTACGCTTGTGCTGAAAATATAAGGAAATTGATGGATAATAGCCGGGTGACAAAAGAGCGTGGATCTAGCCTGATTGAAGAAGAAAATGATGAAGTTCTTCGTTTCTTGTTTGGTTTGTAACCTCTTCCAAATTTAAAAGAGCGTACACTTTGTTTTTAGTGGTGAAAATTTCTCTCATGCTCTTTATGTTTTATATGAAGGAAAATATGCATCAAACTAAAATTTTTATGATGTTTCCTTATCTTCCTTGTTTTTTTATGATGCTGAGATTAATGTATGTTCAGTATATGCAATGGCTTGATGCATAATATCACTCTTACTGAATAGCTGTAAATATATAAACATAATGTTGCTAGCGTGGTTTCTGAATCATAGGCTGAATCAAACAATGTAAATGTAATACATAATGAAATTGTTCCTTTACCGATGGCAAATCTGGAACTTGGCCAACAACAGATACAATTGAGATGCACGAATGAAATGTGAGTGTCATAAAGGAATAGAAATAAATACGACAAACAATTCAGACACGATCAGGATCCTGGTTTGCTCAAACGTAAAAATTTACCATGCCAAATCAATTCCGTGACAGAGCAACAGCAGACAACACGATCAACAGCATAAGCACAAGAATTGCTATAAATGATCCAACTAAAGAGCCAGAGACTCGCTCACAGAAGGAGTTGAACTGTTGACAGATAGCAAACCAGTTGGCCCGAGTATTGCCTTTGTGGGCTAGGTAAACAATGGCAGTCGCAGCAGAAGCCCCAGATGTCAAAAAAGCCAGCATTGCCTTCATAAGGTCAAAATCATTCTGTTAGTGAACTTTGCAAAGCCCAACAGTAATTGATAGTCTGATAAGGGTTGGAGAAAACCTCAATAACTTACAAGATCTATGAACACTTATGTCATATATCGTATGGAGGATTAGATAGTATTAGACATTATTAAAGAAAAAAGAAGCTAAATCTTGTTTATTTTAGTGTCATGTAGCAATATCTTGTTTATTTATGTTAATGAGTCCGAGAAAATTACCATATCAAAGATGATCAATACTGTCCTTGTTACTCGTGCGTCACTTTTTACAATGTGAAAGATGGATAACAGGAGAGAAAGGATCAGATAGGCGGTTACAATGACATTTGCGACCACAAAGAACCTGTTGATGTTAGAACAATGTTATAAACAGATGATACAAATCTAAAGGGAAGACGAGAGACACTCACGTAAATGTAGGAAGATCATTGTATTTAGCCCTGAAACGGATGAACTGTGTGAATAAGGGAAATGATTCACTTGTAGTTCCCATGGCAACCGCACTTCCGAAGGTGCCAATAACAGCAACTATTCTCATAATAAAATCGAGTCTGGATATCCCTCTGTTTACAGCTGTTTTTGGAGCATCATCCTGGGGAGCCTCACCGGCTTCTTCTGCACCTGCCTTCATTTTCTTAGCTTTAGTTCAAAGTGTTTGCAGAGAAGGATTATGAACGAATATTTGAGTCGAAGGCTTATGGTTGAGAAGAATGCTGTGACAGTTTACTATTTATAGATGTTCTGAAGACGAAGAATATAAGTTTGTCAATCAGTCAAATTCATTGTGGATGGTAGGTTTGAATAAGGTTTGGTATTGAAGAATGTTTCTGTTACTAAATCAAATACTAGAAATTGCTTCATAATCTGTACATGCCTACACTTGCCGTATATTTTTGTACTTTACCCATCCTTACAACGCATGGCAAATTTGTGCAATATCTATTCTGGCCCCCAAAAATAAAATTAATTGAAATTATGGAGCAGTTGATCTTCACTAATTGTGGAACCAATGAGTTTTGAGTAGGTGCAGGAGTCCTGCTTAGGAATCAAATAAATTAACTTTCATTTCTTGAAGAACTGAACATTTTCTAAATAAGTAACGAGACTTAAATTATTTATTTA